AGATATCCCTGAGTTATCGAACTCCCATAGAATCGACCAAATATCTGAGATTTTCGACTCCGCAAGGTCGACTAAAACACATGAGAATTTCGACTCACAAGAACGACATAAATCCCTGATTATCGACTCACGAGATCGCATAAAACGAGATTTCGACTCACGAGAATCGACATAAAACCGAGATTTTTCGGACCAACACAACGACAATAAATCCTGGAGTTATCGATCTGTTCAGCGAGATCGACTAAACCCGAGATTTCGATCCTCACGAGATCGACATAAACCGAGATTTTCGACCATCACAACAACGACATAATCCTGATCGACTCGACGAGGTTCGACGAACGGAGATTTTCGACGACGACGAGACTCACGAGAACGACGCGTCCGAGAATGCAGAGCGCGCGAAGAAGAAATCGCCGCCCGGACAGCGACCCTTCGAATGTCCCGTCTGTTACTCAGCGTTCAAGAAAATGTCACATCTCAACTCTCACGTGACAATCCACTCTCAGGAGAAGCCCTACCAGTGTTCCATATGCAGTGCCAGGTTCCGCAGAAAGGATTGCCTCGGCAGACATCTCAACACCGTCCACTACAATCGCGAATATCTGCAGGAGCCGTCTCCCCGGGATGAGTCTGGCGACGTGGCCGAGCAGTCTGCTTTCTTCCAGAATTTCGCATCGTTCTTCACTCCTTCTGAAGACTGGAAGGAGGCGCTGCCGCTGACTGTTGAGATCAACGCCGGAGATTTTCCCGTGTGCTTGGATACGGACAACAACTCGGACGCTGGCGAAGGGGTGACAGAAACTCAGGACGAGGAGCCTGATCCCCCTAAGGACCAAAGGGAAGCAGCGAAATTGTCAGTCTCTCAAATGGGGTTCTATGAATGTGAAGTCTGTTATCAAATTTTCGCGAGGGAATGCGGTCTCAGGACCCATATGGAAGTCCATTCTGAAATACGGCCATTTGCGTGCCCACATTGCAAAGAAAGATTCCCTCACGAGGCTTCTTTAATCGAACACTGTAGAATGCATATTGATCCTGCCAAGAATGTCATGAAGCCTCAGAAGTCGCCATCTGATCAGGAACACCCAGACACCATATCCGCGGAGCTGAGACGGTTCCATAAATTAGCTGCTGAAACCGTTGCCTCATCCGAAAAGCTTTCACGGTGTGCTGTTATTGCCAACAAAAACATTGAGTTAAGTGCGGATAATAGCAAATATGTAGGTCCTGCTGAGGGTGTGGAAGGATCTCAGAACGAGGGCACTGATCTTACTGGAGAGGTAAAGAATTTGCTATCTCAACGAAGGCCTTATGAATGTCAGACTTGCCATGCCAGTTTCAAGATGAAACATCATCTCAAGTGCCATATGGTTGTTCATTCTGACATAAAGCTCTTTCAGTGTCCACAATGCAGTAAAGCGTTCTCTTGGAATCACACCTTAAAAAGACATATCAAAGTCCATACTAAGAGTCCCAAGAAGCCCAGGAAATCGCCGTCTGCTCAGAGACCAGAGAAGACCATAAAGCAGGAGGAACCTAGACTCGCTCCTGATGAGGAGCCTGATTCCACACTTCCCATCCTGACACTACAAGATGCTGCCGCCGACGGATTTAAGATATGTGAGGACGACCTGCTTATGAATAAAGCTCTGGAAGTGAAAGAAGAACCAAACGAGGACACCGGTAGGGGCAGACCTGCGAGGCAATTTGCGAGGCAACGTGCGAAGCAAGTTGTGAAGCAAGGTGGAAGGCCCTTTGCATGTGATATTTGTTTTTACAAGTTCAAAACTAGGCAGCATCTCAAGATCCATACGACTGTCCACTCTAACGATAGGCCCTACGCGTGCCATCAATGCAAGAAAGCGTTCTCCAGGAGGGCTTGCTTAAACAGACATGCCAAAATCCACCTCTATAGTGATCGGAATCCTTATAGGAGATTCCCCTATAAATGTGAAATCTGCGGAGCGCGATTCCCTAAATGGCAACGTCTCCAGAACCACTTGACAGGTCACGCCAAAAAGGACAAGATAAGTTTGACCTGCGAGTTTTGTGAGAAAACATTTCCTAATACAAATTCTCTGGGCATCCACCAAGAAATTCAAGAAATTAGGAAATGAAGAACAGAAGAGAGAAAGAAAGAAAAACAGCATGATATGAAGTTTACTTTGGAAATCTTTATATTTCTTTTTCTGTCATATGGTATCCATTTAGAATAATTACATAGTACTGATCAATGTCTTAAAACTATACCTAAAGTAATAGGTCGACGATTTTGTATCTGTACAAGTTTAACATTTTACGTTTATTTTTGAGTTAGTGTGTTCAAAAACATCACGTTTGTTAATTTAAGTAAAGGAAGCATTCTTTCTTCTACTTTTCATATAGTTGAACATTAAAGATTCATGTATAGGGAGAAAGGTATCAAAATGTATCCATGTATTCATTATCCAGTGTTAGCTAAAGCATGATATGTGTCAAGGAATAAAAGAATAAT